AACAAATATTGGCTCATGTTTCGAAGCCAGACGACTTGCTACAAGAGTACGAAAGCCCAGGTGAACGATTCTTTTCAAATTTTCCAAGGAAAAAATTAGGGGAACAAAACGGTTTTACATAATGAGACAATGCAGTGACTTATTGCCATGACTCATATACGAATATATGACCTCTTTTCTAAATTAATTTTTTATTTCTAAAATTGCAATCAGAAGAAGAAGATTGCCATGAGGATGATGGTGAAGATATGGACGGAGAGAAGAAAAACACAAGGAAGTAGAATATGCAACACTAGAGGACAACAGTAATGTGATTGAGCAGAGTTCCACAAGCTGTCAAGAAAACAAAGAAGTTGATGTGGCAGCTGTTGGAAATCCATCTGTAGATTCCTTGTCACCTGCCTTGGCTTTAGATCCGAGTGAAGTTGTTGCCATCCACCAAGACGAAGAAGCACCATCACAAGCTGGATCAACTCATTGAAATGAAGATATAATCTTTGTTATTGTCCTTCTAATGTTCAAGATGTTAATATAGATAAAGATAATCGGAGGGGCAATAATGAAATTTAAAGTGGATCCATCCCAACAGGTTCAAATTTTCATTTGCCCAAGCAGGATGCTACTGGTATGAATTTCTTAGTTGTTCTCCCCCCCCCCCCCCCCCTCCATTTGTAATCTTCATGGATGCGAATTTTTCTTTTGTTTTTTTTTTTTTTTTATCTACGTACAAGCAGCTGCAGAGGTTCTTCCCCACTCACAAGAAATTGAAATTGTTGGCACTCAAGAAGGCCTTCCAAAGCAGAAATTCTGTCCAGTTGATTCAATGAACCTGCAAGAGGTTTATCCTGATTCCTATTACTATCTTTCTTCATTGGTGTTCTTGTGGTTGTTGTAGTTTCACTCAATTGTTAACTATGCCCCCATATATATTAACATGTTAATTTAATCCCTGACATGAACATGTATGATTTATGACACCAAAAAATTAGTCTAAATTTTACTGATGCATCTAATCATATGGAATTTTGATGTTATGCATGTGTCTGACTTGTGCCAACAAATGGAGCAACAGTAGATACTGAAGTAACTTTAACTTCCTTACGTGCTTTGTGATGAAAATTTTATAAGTAACTCGAGTTAATTGATTTGGATTGTACATGCATACACACACACACACACACACACACACACACACACATATATGAATAAGATGAAATCTAGTAAGCCTTGTATATTAAATATAAGGAATTACTGCCAGAAATATAATAGCAAATTAAACACTAAATCAACTTCTTTTTTCCATCTATAACAGCTCAATTAAGAATTTTTGAATTATGTGGACCAAAAATTTAGCCTTATCCATAGCATTCAGAGCTGGTATTAACTCCCTCCTTTAAACCTTATGAGTATAATTTAACCTGAGGCGTTCTTCTTTAGGTTTATCAGAGTAAGTTCATTTATGAAGGTAACTCAGAAACTCTAATTTGTCATTTGGAAATTATTGCACAGAGCTGCACAAAAATAGGAAAGGGAGGTTCTCATAAAGATACTGGACTAGCAGAATCAAAAGTGGGAACGTCAACACAGGTAGGCTCAGTACCCTCTTCATTATAGCAATAACATTTTATGGAATACAATGTAAAACGCTAAAAATGGTGGTTGGTGCACAGGAGTTGATCAGTGAAGAACCACAGGTTGAACTTAATGCAAATGTTGCAAAGGTTCAAGACGCTGTAGAGGTTCATTCTCAATCAGAATTTGATCTAAAAGTTGGTTCAATGAACTCGAGAGAGGTGTATTTCGAGCCCTGTTACTTTCATTTACATCAATAAATTAGTTTCATTTTAGGTGTATAAAATTTAAGTTAATCACTGAAGTTAAACTTAGAAACTAATATATATCAATTGTCAATTAATGCATAGAGTAACACGGAAATTGCAAAGGTCGGTTTTCAAAAAGATTCTGCACCAGAAGAATCAACAGTCAGAACTCCATCAGAGGTAACTTCATCACCCGCTTCTTGATGGGATAACATCATAAAGAGTACCTAAAAGGCTATGATTTTTGGTTCCATTACAGGTGGTGATTGACAGACAACCTCAGATTGGGAGGGACCCACAACAAGCTCTTCAAGAATACAAAGGTATCTTTCGAATTGCTCAAAAGAATTAGTATATCTTGCCAGGTTTCTCATAATGCAACAAGTTCAAAATTTCAGTTGAAAATGTTTCCAAGCTTCAAATAGATTGCAACTTGTTATGACTTCCCACTTTCTCCAACTTTAAATAGTTAAACCGAAATTGGTATCATTGTTATAAGGAGTGTCTCTTCCTCTGCATGTAGATCCAACAGTGTTTCACCAAGTACTGGCATCACTACCACTCCCCTAATTGCAGAAGCACTGACTTCATCTTCAACAAATGAGCACGCTCCTGCAGAGCAGTTGGTTGATTTTCATTGTCTATTTAAGATTAAGGAAAGACAGGCTCGCTTACTTGACGAGGCATTTGTCAAATATCCACATTTATGTGAATGGAAACTCTCACAAAGGAGTCTCAGGATTTGCAAGGTGGGGTACAAGTCCTTAGCTGACATGTTGGCATTTTTAAAATCAGAGACTCCTAAGACAATGGATGATTCAAAGATGGTGGAACTTGCAAATCTATATTATGACCTGGATTATTTTGGCTTTGACAAGATGTGGTTGGCATCTATTCGCCAGAGAGTGATGGATATGCAAGCTGAACATGATAACAAGTTGAAGCAGCTGGATCAGTTGGAGTCTGAAATTAGCACGTTAGAAGAACAACTTAGGGCCTGTTTGGGTGACTCCCAAAACCATGGTTTGGGTGGAATGTCACCCAAACAGCATCAATTTTGATGTCATAATCTGAAACCATGGTTTGGGCTGAAACCATGGTTGTGGAACCCAAAACCATGGTTTCAAGAGAAGTGAATTCATTCTGCTTCTGGCTCAAATTAGAAAGTATGATTGTGCCTGTCAGAATAGATCTCAACCATAATATGACTTTAACATCCCTCAATTAATTTTTTATAAACATATTAATCTTATATCTTATAAATATATATACACATATTAATTATTCCTTAATTATATTATCTTATGTATTATTAATTATGTTAGTAAAAAATATATTAGTAACAATTTTATTCCTTCAAATTAAAATATATCATAAAATCTATCTTTTGTGTAATTATCATATTAACTTATGTCTTTTTTAATAATTTATATATATATATAAAAAGTGCTTTTGATAACAACTATCCAAACACTCTCATTTCTCAGAATCACTTTTTCATAAAATCTACTCTTCACAAAATTTATTCTCCCCAGAATCTATTCTCCAGAAACTATTCTCTAAACCATGGGTTGATTTTATCTAAACACCCCCTTAGTGATGCAAGAGCAAGCTTGGCTAGTGTGAAGGGTGACCTCTCAAAACTTGGCGATGTATTTGGCTTTTTAAGTATAGTTACTATTGAGACATGTAACTCTCTGAGGTCACCCTATTTGTGTTAACTTTGATTGGGCATGTGTTTTTATCATACTTTACCTTTCAAGAACCTTTTTTGTTCGAGTAAACTTCTAAAGACATAATAGAGATGATCATGTTCATTAAATCTCATCTGTATCTTGGATTTCAAATACTTGCAATACTCACTTTTCTTGCACCACTATATATTCAACATACATTGAGTAATATATTTTATCTTTGCATGTCCTGTGGTTCGTTTGGCTCGCGCCCAAATCCCTCCAACTCTTTTTTTTTTTTTTTCTTCTTTTCTTCTTTCCCCTAATGAAAAGAACTTATACAACCAAGATGCCCATAAAAAAATTAAATTCGCTACTACCCATTTAAAAAATTTAAAGAGATGTTTGGTATCATTGGTTTATAAGACCCCAACCCCAAATGCCCCCAAGTCTGACCGCAACTTTTGTGACCACTATTACAATAGATTACTGTTATAAATAAATGGTTAGAATGGAGAAATAAAATATAATAATTAAATCAAATAAAGTTTAATTGGACATTACACACGCGCGCATTATCTCGTTTAACTAAAAACCTTCAAACCTACTTAGGTCTTATCACTGTTCATTGAGGTTTCTAATGAGTAATAACAAAAAAAATTAATGGAAAATGATCATAAATAAAAGTTCAAGTTTTGCCAACAAAAGTTCAAGAAAATAAATTATGATACGCTTTTTCTTTAAATAATTACTTTCAATTCTGAAACAAAAAATGAGTAAGTTAGTAGCAAGATTTTCGTCCTTTTTTGGCCAAGACTTGTTAACAAGATTTAATTAATAATTCATTGATAGGCTAACCATAAGGTTTTCGAAATGATGATTGGCAGGTGGGCTTCGCCACGTTACCTTTTGATAAGAAACTCCGATTTTTTCCCTCTATCTGGAAATAAGAAAATTTTATAAGAAACATTTCTAGAAAAATATCAAAATATTACTCACAAATATAGCTCTTACCTTCACAACAAGATTTGAACCTAGCTCTTGTAAAAACAAGTACTTCCTCGAGTCATTTTATAAGAAAATTTAGTTCTATTGGTCTTATTTATAAGAAACATTGTCCTCTTATTTGAAATATTTATTAAAATTTTTCTTTTATGCTCTCATTAAAAAGATACTCCTCTGTTACTAAATGTAGAAGTTAGTTGGGGAGTTTATATTGATTCTAAATATAATATCTTAATCTAATTTTTCTCTTATATTTATCATTTTTCCTCAAATTAATTTATCTAGCTTATTAACTTATATTGGATATAAGGTTATTTTAGAGAAATCAAATCACATTTGTTAAAATTATATAATTTACTCAAATTAATTAAATAGCTCTTCTAATAAAAAACAGAGGAATATATAAATTTAAGAAAACCTAAGTTGCTGTTGAATCCTTTTGCTTCAAGGACACAAAACAAGGCAAATATTTGAAACAGCCTGGGGGTGCAAGATGATGGGGAGAGATGGATGAAATCTGTACGGAACCACTCATTCCAAGGCACTCCTTTACATTATAGTAAGATATACTTCATTTATCGTCGAAAAATGGAAAAAAGAAAATTAAATCTTTTGAAGGCTCTGGAAGTTCTCAAGCAATTCAGAAAGAACAACATATCCAGCACCTCCAAGAACCAGAAGTAGAGTTATCTTCCCTCCGGGAACGAGCTCAGGTAGTTTCACAGTTGGAGATGAATCTGAATTCGAATTTGAGTACCTATCAGACCAGGACATTGCTGCTGGAATAATTCCAAAGAGCACCAACACTACAAATTGAAATGAAACTATGAGAAAAACTTGCTGCACCGAATTAATCCCCGATAAAAAAAAACTATGAATTATATAGAAAAAAAAAATGAATCATAAACATAGTTCCGTTTCTCAGGCTGGACATTAACTTGACGATAAAATAATCGACAAACAAAAGTACAGAGACATGCCCAGGCATTCATTATAGATATACCTCCATAGGTTCCAGCAAAGTCTAAGGCTTTGAAAAATATTTCTGGGTCCAACGATGAGAGTACCAGCGGTGGGACTAAAGCTAAAACGAATGGCAGGGGCTTGTTTTGACCAGATGGGAACTGCAACACTGAAAATCCAGATGATGAACATGAGAAAAATTATATAACTCTTCATCAATCTTATGCACTAGAATGGAGAAATGATGCTAAAGGTCATGTAACCTAATGGCATGGATGCTCCCCTATAACTAGGAGGTCACGGGTTTGATCCTGCTTATAATCTCAAGTCACTAGTATCTACCTCTTTAACTTAAAAAGAATGGACAAAAGATTAAGAGGTCAATCCTAGTTGCAGCATAACTCAATTAATTTGAAATTTCAGTACAGATATAGACAGTCTCTATTTTATACAAGTTTGTAGCCTAAATGACCTTTTCATTATTTAAGTCAACAAAGGACCTCATTGCATATGAAAAGTTGAGATCTCATTTCAGCTGCAGAAAATCCAATCCTGAAGGCCTAAACATTATTTGACATCTATTGGAACGAAGAAATGGATCCAAGGCTATTAAAAAATGTGAGACATATATATATAGTGAAACATAAAGAGAGATAATCACAAAAAAAGTATCAAACTCTCAACCCTACATTATTACCGAACCCATAAAAAAAAAAAAAAAAAAAAAAAAAAAAAAAACAGACACTTACAGTCTGCAAGAAAGTCTGACAAACCCAAAACGAATCCGATGTAAGATGTTGCAATTGCAAGAAGCGAGAATGCTTCAACTATAGGCTGCAGAATCAGGTTGTGAGGAGGAACAAAAATTCAACAGTCGGATACCAAAACTTCAGGTGTCTTTATTATAGTTCAGGCTAAAAATGTATCAAATTTTGCAGAGACTTACTCCAACTATTCCATTTGTGGATCTCAATTGTTCTAATGGGTCCATTCCCACTTCATTATTACCAACAGTTCCAAGGATAACAGCATTCCAGACCAGAAAGAGAGCAAGAGGTATACCGGTGCCTAGGACAATTGCACTCCTGCAATTATTAGAAAAGTCAAATATAAGCCAAGAGAATCCTTAGGGTAGAGAATATCTAGAGCATTCCCTCATCTAGAATGCGCTGAGCAGTTCAACCAAAAGCATAAGTTGGCAGGTAAAAGACCATAGATAGTTATGTTGTAATTTGTTAATTAATATGCTCCCTCACACTAAAGATTTTTGGGCTGAAATAATAGGCAAAGCAGAGACCTCCCGTACGTTGTATTTTAAACTTAATTTCAGACCAAAAAAGACACAAGATAGAGGAACAGAGACAATCACGAGTTTGTCTATTAATAAGCAATATAAACAGGATCATATGATTGGGTGAATGAGCCAGTTGATTGGCCTAATATGGAAAAGTTGAGTAGACAGAGGGCTCCACCACTTGTCGGCAGTGGGCCCATAAGTTAAGGGTCTAGTCAGAGCCAAAGACAAGTGAGCAGTTAATCTCAGACCATTATGATATTAATTTTGATATGTGAATAATTTTGATATTTGGATAACAAGTCACCGTCATATATCTCAGTGTCAAAAGGTTTCAAGCCCTTTACAGTCTTGCACATCGTACATTGTATTTCAAACTTGATCTCAGACCGAGGAAAAAAAAAACAGAGAGACAATGGGCACGTAAGTAAGATAGAGACCATCTCTCTAAAACTAACTATTGAGGTGGGAAAACCTACACATTTAATACTCCATTGAGCATCCCATGCTACTAAATGTAGAACTTAGCCATCTCATAGATAAAAGGTCTCTGTTTTTAAAGCTTCATATTTCATTCTATTATTTTAAGTTCTCCCCCACATGACTGAAGACTCCCAAAGTCAGTAAAATTTGATGTATTAGAGCAAACACAAAAAAAAAACAAAATGACAGTGAAATTTGTCACCTTACTTTTGATAAGTCCCCTTCAAGATTCGAGCAAAGAACAGGCACCACATTCTGGATAAGCAATACCAAAGCGTCAAGATTATCTCAAGTTGTTCAACAACTTCAGATTGTTGATGTTACCTGGTAAACAAAAGAAAGCGCAATAATAGGTATACTCATAGGAGCTGCTTGGAAGTTGGCCTTAAGAAGAGCATCCCAGTGCAGTTCCCCACTTGCCACTGCCTAAGAATGAAAATTCAATCTCCACCATAACATGAATGAATATTCATTCTCAATTATCACCTTCAGTCATATATTCTTGCAATTGATTTTCGATCATACACATGGAAAGATTAAGATACTATATAACTAAAGCATGAGTTCAAGTTCTTGATTTGAGAATCTTACCAAAAGAGCTGCAAAAGAACTAACGATTCCAAGGACAAGAGTCCCGTTAACTGCACCTATAAAGCGCTGGCTACAGATTGAGAAGAATTCTTGGTTAACATTGCTACCCTTAGATATAGAAAAACTATGACTAAAAGAAATGTGAGTATTCACAGAAAACCTACTCATTTTCTTTTGGTTCCTTTTTCAAATGCAATCAACTGATCTTACTAAAATTTTATCATATGTGATAATTAATCAAGCCCTCGGATAACACTTTATGAATTTAAACATGATGAATATCTTGAGATATTCTTGAGAATATTACATCAATCTGCACTCATGTTTTCTGTTATTTTTCTATTTTTATCCCCATGATCGAAAGGGTATGAGTTGACAGAAGCTGAAAGTGAAAACTTTGATGAAATACACACCAACCTTCCAAAAAAGCATACGCCTCCGAAAACCAATGAAAACAAAGTAGCACTTCCCCATCTGCAGCCAAAATGCCACTATCAGCATCTAGCAAGTGTGCTAGATTTAATCGGAACACAAAAGTTAAGTCATGACTATAGATACGGGAGGCAAAAGAGCAGGCAAAATCTAGAATAATTGAAGGAAGATATTGTGACTCATACGAGGGAATTCCAAGAAAATTTGTCAATATATCTGAAGAACGAGCTACATATGCAACAAGGAGGGCATAATGGATGAAGATGTATGACCAACTGCAAGAAAATGAGAATTATCATATATATAAACATAATAATGCCAATGAAAGTTGCTCAGACCACTTGAAACACGTGATTAGATAGTTTTGGGATTGAAACAAGAAAATATAAAATGATTAAAACAAAAAACAAAGAAGTCAAATTGCACGGACAAACGTGAAATATAGGTTTCTTCATAATTTAACTGTCACTTTGTTTATGACTGGATGTTAGTGGTGCTCCAATGCAACTGAACTAATTAGCAGGTTTGTAGTCCCACTAAGGATTATTAAAAATCCATGAAGCATTGACTAATTCTGCACGTTGACTTAGCGTAGTACACAACCTCACTTTTTCATACTAGATTATATATATGAACCTACCATGCAATTTGAACTCCTGCTGTCCCTAAAGTTCTCCTGGCCATTGATACCTGAAATTAATTTAAAACAAGATACTAACCAGGCAATTAAATAGAATAGAACCTAAATATTTTAAGTACAATGACAATTCATATAGCCCTTTTACACATCTATAATCACAATAAAAGGAATCCTTCACTAAATTCTTCTTCATCGATCCTAAAGTAGGAACTAGGATGGAGAAGGGGTCAGCCACCAGCTGACAACTATATTTGCTTTTCGGAAATAGAGAAGAACCTTACTTTCAGACAAGTGAAATCTTTGCTAGCGTATATGAGCAAAAAAAAAAAAAAAGGAGAAATTACCAGCGACACACCACCAGAACCTAGTTCACACATGGTATTGACATTAACTTCGGCGATGAGCAAACCTGTCACAACCTGCATAAATTCTTTTTAGACTTGCTCATGCATTCTCCCCTTTGAATGAGTTGAATTATTTCGTCCAAGAGGCAAAGCAAAAATATACACTGAAGCTTTTTGAATGAGTTATATGTTTGCACAATGGAAAATGCTGGTAAAACTGATCTAAATAAACATATGATTTTACCATCAATAATATTCATTACCATTCATCAGCAAAGTGAACATTGGGTTATACCAAATAATTGGGAATTGATGCAAAATCACCAAGGGTTATTACCATGAATAGCCAACAGAGGATGCATACGACAGCAGAGGCTAAAAAGCCTGACTCTTGTGTTACAGCAGGAATTGCAAGGATTCCAGCTCCCACCTGTGATATTTCTTTCATATAAATATATGGAAAATCAGAATGGTTAAATGAATCAAATAAACACAAACAAAAGACATAAAATTTTGTCTAACCACTGTAGCTATGAATTTGCAGCGGTTTAAGGGAGCATGGAGATTCCGTCCTTAACATTCATATGATGATGTTGATGCCCGTGTTCAATTCTAGTAATCTGTGTATATAACCTACAAAAACTTCCCCCCAAAAAACTAATCACAAATCACATAAGCACAGCTTGCATGGGGCTTAGTGCCCTTTGTTCCTGTTGTCTCTCAATTTTTCTTCTTTCCTCTCCCTTCATTTTTCTTCCCTGAAATCTGTGCGTAAAACTGGGGGCCCACTGGTTCTATCTATATGCATCTGTGAATATTACTGCCCATCCATGACAATATAATATATAAGCAAGCTTCGAGAAACAGGTTTCTCTCAAGAGAGGTTTGAGAAGGATGGTTTGAAAGCACCATTTCTTTATGCTTGAAGCAACTGAAATTAATGTTGACATGCTGGGCTCTTATTATCTTTTAATGAGATCATTTGGATTCTCTTACTTCTAAGCTGGTTCAAATTGTATAATGCTAAATGCTGCAGACATCCAGATTATCTTGTTTGATTACAAACTTTTGCCACTCTGGGGAAAAAACAGGTTTTGTATGTGAACCCTTCTAGTAACTAGAGAAGGCCCCGCGCATTTGCACAGAGCCTGAAATTATTCACACTATTTATGATTTTTGGACAATGCAACTTCCTGTAAATTTTATATATATTGATACAGATTTTAGCTTAATGAGCCCATGGCTTTTTTGACTTGAGCCTAAGAAAAAGGGGCCCATACAATGAACATCGCACAGGCACGGAACACAAATGCAAGATACAACACAGCATAATTTAAAGTGTCACATCGCATCTAGCGTAAACATCAAATATGAGCATCACTACTTTTTTTTTTTTTTGGGGGGGGATAGACTGTATTCAGAGAAATATAAAGACAAGACCAGGGTATAAAGTATACTGACTAATAATATGCAATAGCTACCAAAAGTCACTATCAGCCACCTCCAGTTACAGGAGAATTTGATTCCTCTTTGATTTTCTTTGAAGAGCCAACCAAGTTAGTTGGCATTTAGTACCATTCTAAATATATGTGCCCAAATACATGCAGACAGGAAATAAAATAAAATTTGCAACGGTAAAAAGAAGCAAAACTAACGCACCGTGGTGCCTGCAACCAGGAAAATTGCACTGGATAAGCTTCCTGGAAATATCAACAAAAGGGGAAATTTTGAATACGAGAAAAATGCAGATAGTAGCAAAAACAGGGTTTTACTATGGATTATAACAACATTAAAAAGAATAGAATAACATAATGGCATATGTAAACAGAATAAATCAGAAGGTAAATGATCAGGGAGAGAGAAGGTCGTAATTTTAATTTTTCAAATAGTTAAAATTTATTTATCAAATAATTGAGGATAAAAAAATAACTATAAAAATCGTATAAGCATACAATTTTTTATTTTAATCTAATGTTCTTGTTCAGTTATCATATAACCAGCATGTAGCATTGTGGCTATTAAATACACAAAGTAAGTCTTAAGACGATGAACAACTTTAGCCTTGAAAGTATATCTCACTTTTTTGATCATCTGTAACGCCTCTTGAGAGCTGCTATTAGGATTTACCTAACATCCCAATATTGAAACTGCTCATTTAATATCAGCTCATGACTCAAGACATGACAAAAATGTTCAAGTGAAACAAAAGGTATTTTTTAATATTTACATAATGAAGCCAATAAAAAATTTAGATATAAGACACCATAAGGCAGTCAAATGGTAGTTGAATTACTTATGAAGCATCCAATAGCGTGCTTTGAATGACAAACTAATTTTGAGCCGATTGATAACTTAGCGACATTTGATGCATTAAGCATTTCAGAAACTAGAATTAGAAAGCTCATATATCAAAAACGAAATTGTAAATGAGTATGCAGATCACCAACCAGGTTCCCTTTTCAAAGTTGCTTGGTTGAGGTTCGAGAATAGCCGCTCAATTTCGAGTTCTTGATCATCTCGCTCCTGTTCCTTTTCTTCATTGGATTGGGACTGTCTCTGCACGAAGCATTTATGGAGGTTTCTGCTCAAAGCGCAGGGAAGAAAACTGGCAGGAGTGAAAATGCTTTGCTGAGGAGTTGATTGGGGAATTGTAGGAGGAAGCTTCCACGGTAGCGGCTGATTTCTTGGTGGGATCAAAAGGGTTCTTGGAACCTGAGAGAAAGGAGGAGTAAAAGTGGGAGAAGAGGAAGAAGGAGAAGAAGAAAACATCATCAATTGTTAAGCTCAATTGGAAGTTTAAAGTTCCAAGTATTCCGGAAGTAGAAAAATTGAAAAAACAGGAGAGCCATAGTGGGAAGTCGGAAGCGTGAGTGAAAGCAGGGGCTTCCCACGTCGGATTCTTTGAGATAATGTGGGCCCTGAGCAATCCAGTAATAGTAGAAAAAATATTTAATAATTTTAGGTAAAATTTACCCAGAAAATATTATTAATAGGGAAAGTTAATTGCAGATCCCAAGTAGAAAACTTAGATAGAAAGATATTCGCATTAAATATTTTTTCCATATATGGCCATATTTGATGAGGATAATAAGTAATAGTAGAAATTAATATAATGGTGAAATTTAGTACAGTTAATAAGCGTTATATTGAGAATCACTTAAACTTCCTCACAAATTTAATGCTTTTAATTATTCTTATTAGTACGTGTGAATTAATTAAAAACGTCTTATATTATGAAATGAAGAGAGTATTAAAATCTCCAATATTATTATTTTATTGAAAAATTCTCAATTTGTTAGGCACTGAAAAATCTCTCAAAATCAAAATACCTCTCAAATCATGTAATGAATAGTATTATTATAATTATTAATATTGTTATAAGAATTGTTAATTGTGTCACTTAAGTTAGAAAAATCACATTTTCACGTAATTGCATTGCAGTACAAGTCATGTAATAATATTAATAAATTTGGTAATAAAATTGCCAAAATTTATTTTCTAGAAAATTGTGAAAATGAAATTTTTTTAAACTTTAATAAGACTATTAACAACTCTGATAATACTATTTACCACTTAATCTGAGAGATATTTTGACTCTAAGGTATTTTTAATTGCCTTATAAAACAGAAATTTTTCTAATTTCATAACATAATTGATAAGTCATGCAATAGTATTATCAATTAAAGCAATTAGAAACCTATTTTCCAAATTCAACACGAACCATAGACTGCGCAAACTGCTTGGCCAAGGCAGCACATGACGACAACAGTCAGACCGTTCTCTTGCCAAGCACCCTTTCATATTGTAGGAATAGAGTTTCATAAGATCAACGATATATTGTAGAGAAATCAACTGATCATATATAACTTTTTGGTAATGCCTTTTTCAAGCTAACGTTTGCCTGTTGTATTCCCCCCTTCCAAAAAGAAAGAAACCTATTTTCCAAGAAATCGTAAAAATGATATTTTTGTAATTTTGGTAACATGATCACCTACTCTTGTAACGATATTAACGATTTTAATGATGTTATTCACTATGTAATCTAAAAAGTATTTTGACTTTGAGAAATTTTTGGGTACCTAATAAATTGAAAAATTTTTAATTTTTATAGTGTGGTTAACGATTCTAATTATCAATCTATTTTCCAAAAAATAGTGAAATTGGGATTTTCTTCAACTTCACCTGTATGCAATCCAGCAAAATAGCCAACAAGTCCGACACCCTACACAAATCCAAAGCCACAATCCAATTCAATCACCACATAATGCAACAAGGCCCAATTAGCATTCCAAGATTTAACGAACAACAATCACAGGCCACGGACAATTAGAACCCAAAGTCAAATAAAAGATCAAATGAGTAAAACATTTGAGTAGGCTTGAAGTACTTCAAGTCCATTTCAATTGCCAAGATACTTTACTTGGTATGCTATGTAAGAATTATAAAACGAATCAAACAATAAAATGTTCCCAATCAAAACAAGTTCAATTTTTTTAGATTTGAAAATCAATAGAAGGTTCCCAATCAAAACAAGGTTCCTTTTATTCTAGACGTGAAAATTTTAGGCAGAGAGTTGAGCTACCCATTTAAGTAATTTCGATGTGCCTAAATTATTGATTGAGGTAAAGTTGAAAATTAGTTTCAAATTTCATGCTTTACTCAGGATAAGAGATGCATCCCCGGCGTTGCATCTATTTCAGGAGTCAAATTGAACTTATTTCAGGAGTCAAATTGAAATTATTCAGCCCTTCAACCCTTCAACCATGGACTAGTGGGAAACAATGGCCAAAGTTACTCCTTCAGTTCTTAATATAAGATCTATTTAATTAATTTGATTAGATTAAGAAAGTTAGGTAAGTTAGTTAATTATAAAAAATATGACATGTTTTTTCTAAACTACTATAATCATCTTCATTAATATCATCCCTCCTTCTTCTACTTAATTATGGTTGAGGGAGTATTCACAAGGTAATTTAGAAAAAATTAATAAATATGATAAATAGGTCTTATATTTATGACCAAAATTAACTCAATAATTAGATCCTATATTTAAAACCAGAAGAGTACTTAAATTGGAAACACCTCAAAATCTTACTGGAAATTTGACAATTTTTTTTTAAGAAAAAGAAAACTAACAAAACTCCCAATCAAGTCACATATTCTTGGCCCACTAAGCATGTTGAAGCTACCTATAATAATTATTCAAAATTTAAAAGCAAGATCCAACACCCAAAGCCAATCCCCCAACACTTTATCTATGATTCACAGCAAAAATTCGAAATCGCAATAATTCCATTGATTAAATCTGTTTAAACTTCATAAACAAGCTCTATTACACTCTTTAAATATAATTCAAACATCCCACAATCGATACAAGGTAGATTTCAGAGCACCCAAATTCGTGTTCCTGACCAAACACAAAAATAATTGGTTGAAAGAGGGAGAAAAAACTAGGTGTAGATGGAGACTTTGATCTTACCTTAGTGTTTAATATTATAATTAATATTCTTAAAAGGTAAAAACAAAAAAAGGGTTCTTAAAAGATATACAAAATATCATCTCCCTTCTATATTTTGCTTCTGTCAGATATTGTGACATTTTCAACACTGAATATTTTAGCGTAGATCCATCTTGCGGGGCGTCATCAATTGAAAGTTTCCAAATATTAATTCTAAAAAGAAACCCAAAAAGGCTACATCTTGGATCCATATGGGCAGCATGTTCTTATCCTTTTGAACAAATAAAACTACAAAAAGCGAAAATTTGTCGCCATTCTGCAACAGTAACACTTATGAATTTTTTAGTTAAAAAGAAAGAAAGATAAATAAAAACCATAAAAATTACAAAATTTCAAATCAGTTACGACACTTGGGTTTTTGATAATAATTGATTTGCATATAATAACACATTTTTGTGAAAATGTCTTATTTATGATTTTACAATTTTCACGGTTTTTTTGTCATGTTTTTTTTTAAAAACACTTCGTGAATTTTTATGCACAAAAAATGTAATGGCCATCATGTATGTATATAAAAAAAAAAAGGTGAACGCGGGCATGCTGTATTAAGAGGAAAATATTTTGTGATTGTCCTAATAATTTTAATTCATATAATTGACGTGAAGTCACGAACAATTATATTATTAACCAAACCTTTATATAAAAAATTGTTTAAGAAAATTATTAGCCAATATATATAATATAAAATACATAGGAAGTCCCGAGTAAAAAATATAGATGGTTAATACATATTAAAACTAAATTTTCTCATTATATTCTAATTTTTTATTTTAAATTATTTAAGAAACAAAATAATTATATTTTTTAAAAAAAATTAGATGGAAGTATAGACCAATTGAAAACCCAAAAGCAGAAGAGATATGTTGGGTTTTATCAAGTCCACCTTGGGAGGATTAGGACTCAAGTCCAATATAATTGGGGCTATTATGTGAATAAAAATAAAATATGGGTCTAGATAAAGAGTTTTATCTATTATTTTTTAAAAATTTCCGATACATCTATTAATTTAAAATTTAAATTGTGATAACGTCCCATAAGTGAGTCATGGGATTATATACGATTTGGGGGAGTCAGTTTTTATATGTTGAACAATAACTCCCATATAACTTTTGTCTTCTTCCTTTCATTCTGTCAGTGTCTTTGCTGTATATCCACGTAGCGTTCGTTTTGCAATTCTACACCCCGCAGGCATATCGAATTGCTTATTGGATCCCACATATCCCCCAAAATCCTTTAAGAAATATTGGGATAAAAGTCATTTTACCCCAAAAGCTTTTACAAAGAAGCATTAATTGCTTGGAAGTTTTTTTTGAGCAATATTGTCCTAGAAGTTGCAAAAAGGGAGCAACGTAGGCCTATTTGGAAGACCCAATGTTTTTCATTAAGTGACATGGTATCGCACAAAGATGGAATCCTGGGAACGACGTGGCATTTAGTTAGATGGGTAACATGGAGGTAGGATGGACACATGTAAAATGAAGTGGAAATTAACCCTGCGGGGTTAGGTTAACTGGTTGGGACTATCCTAGCGTAACCACGGATCTCAGATTTGAGACGTGGGAACGTAGTACTCCAAGGGGCTAGGAGGCGCCGTCTGAAAGGATCTTTGCAAGCCCCCGAATTCGGACTAGTCTGGGGTCATTGTCACGGTTGAAAGACGCCTATTACCCTGAGATATCGGATGGAGTAATCCAAAAAAAAAATGAAGTGGAAATTAGATAAGGATAAGAAAAAGATGTTGAGGGAGAAAGACAAAAGGACTCTGAGAGTTTTATATGTTGACAAAAAGAAGTCACTCTGCTAAGGTTAGAGGAAGTATGAAGTGGGAGTGAAGGTAGAGTGTTGCGAGTCTCAATGGCGTATGAGTAAGAAAAGGATGAGATGAGCACATAGATTCTCCAATAGGTAGGTAAGAATCGAATCTTTTTTAGTGTTACCATGTAAAAAAGCGTGGTTGGAAACTTTTTTTTTTTTGTTCTTTTGCAGATGGTGAAGTTCATATTAGCTTTTTGTTTGCTTTAGATTAAGTTGGCTTATTTGTTAATTAGTTGTTTTTTTGGTTAATTACTCTCTTATTTAAGATGGTAATGGCATCGAATAGTGGAAAGGGTGTTCTCATTGATGGTTTCGAATCTAGTCTTGATTATTAGTGTTATTTGGATAGTTTGTTGTGTGAGTTTAATGAGAAGAAGAAAGAGAAAAAAAAGTGTCTATGCAAGGGGTTATGAATTGATTATAACATATGGGTCATCTCTTATCAATAGTGGGGTGAAGTGTACAGAGGGC